AAACGCCCAGGAGGCACTGTCAGCTCTGCAGACCAGGCATGGAGCAGGAGCCCGGGCAGAGCCGGTGTTCCCACAGCTCGACCCCGCCGACCACGCTCACCCAAGGAACAGCAGCAGCGCTCGAGCCAACAGCCATCAGGAGGGAGAGGACCACAGGGCCCATTTCCTTCTGTGGTGGCAAACTCCAGAAACTACTTTAATCCACACGTGGAGCTTTCAGTTACATTCCTACACCATCTTTTACACTCAAAACCTTAAAATAAACCAAAACTCAAACAAACAAACAAAAAAAAAGCAGGATACTATTTATACAAGATAGCATGAGAAAACCACTACAGAACCTATAATATGAATTTTCTGATTCTAAAAGGGGATTTGCTCTGATTCTAAAAGGGGATTTACTCTGTCTAGAGCGAAGGCTATTTTTCAGGACTACAGTTAAATAAGAAAATTGATACTGCTGTGTCCTTTAGGACATCCCTTCCATCCCTGCAGAAGTAAACAAGACTCTCTATTCAGCTACATCGCTCAGAAGTAACTCAGCTAACTCTAATGAAGCTTTGGTGATGTAAATCTGCTGTGATTCTGGAATGGTTTAATCCAGACATTTTTAAACATGATGAGCTCAGAAGTGGCCAAAATGACTAATGGGACCTCAACACCCACAGCTTTAACCTCCAAGAACAAAGGAAGAAAGGGGGAGCAGGAGGAAGGAAGACCAAATGCGGATCTCAGGAAATCAAAAAGTTGCTTTCAAAACCTATCTGATTTTAAAGAGATCTATCTGATGGATACGTAGGAGGAAACAGCAGTTTTTCGGCAATTATGGGACAAATGCCAGGAAGTCAACTGTGTTAGGAAGTAGTTCTCTCCCTGCACAGTACAATGAGATGAGCAAACACACAAACAGGCAGAAATGCTGATGGTCAGAGACCTGAACTACGTGCCAAGTCTTCCGAGTCCTGAAATCTCCCTGTTGATACAAAGAAAGAGATGAACTAGATCAGCAATTGTTTAAGTCAGTGCCCAAAAAACTAAACAAACATACAATGCATTAAAAATTATAAACTATAAAAGAAATCAGGAAGACTTCCACATAATTATTTTCAGCAACAGCAAATGGATCTGTAAGCAACCGCTCAGATGATTAGTCAGTCTGCAGGAAACATTAAACCTTCAACATGACCGACCTACCCTGGTGACTCTGCTGCCACATACCAAGGACAATTTACCAAAGCAGTGGAAACAAAACTCACCCACTGTAGGAGCTGGTGTTCTTCCCATTATTACTTATTTTGACAAAAAAAAGCTAAAACTGTCCTTTGGACACCTTTAAAGCTAATTCCAGTTTCAGAGGCAGAGAGGGAAGGAGGATGCAGCCAGCACAGGATGCAGTGCCGTGCTCAGCCACCTGCCATTTTCATCTTAAAAAGAGAATAGCTAATTAAAACACTGCAGGCCTGATGTCAAGATTTCAGATGACGACCTCTTCACCCCATCCCCCAGAAACAGTTACATTTATTAAGTAGCATGTCCAACCCATAAAGTTTTATCTTTTTTTTTTTTTTTTCCATAAGGCAGCCTCAAACATTGCCCTATTTTTACCTTTTCTCTTCTCACTACCATAGAAATTCCCTACCATGATCAAATTACCATCAGTATTCACCAGGATAAACTGAGAGGAGAGAGAAATAATTGCAAGAGCCTTAAGATCTCAGGTCATTTCTTTAAGCTCTTTTCTTAGCTTGTCCTACTATTTTACTCCTCCACAAAATGTGGGTGCACAGCAAACATCCAGAGCAGCTTCCACCCATGTCAAACATAAGCACAGCGAAGCTCTGCTTACGACCTACAAAATAACCAGAGTAAATACCCAACTATAATATGCATCTAAAATATAAATTTAGACTTGCTGATAAAAACGGTAAATATAAATCAGGTTTATGTTAAGGAACAGCCAGATGTGGCATTCATTAAGTGTTGCTCTTATTAATATGCCATTCACTATGTTTCTTTGCCACATGTATAGATATATTACTTGTTACACTTGAAAACCTCAGACACTGGCAAGAGAGCTGGAGACAGACACTCCTATTAATCTGAACGAGCAGCTGTGAGAATTACTGTGGATTCCATTTTTAGGAATAAGCAAGTTTCAGAGTGGTAAGAAAACAAAAAGATAAAGCAACACAAAGCAGGGTTATTTATTTTGACAGCTGTGGTTTAGCTGTTTTAACTGTTTATGATGGTTTTAAAAGAAACTCTGAAATCCACTTTGTAAAAATAAGGAAGACTCAGTAACAGCAGCCGGGCTGTGAGTCCGGAGAGGAGACACAGCCGAACCACATGTTTTGGGGTCAGGGACAGCCATGGGACAAGGGTGGGACACAGCAAAGGGCTCTGGTGCCCCTCCGGCTGCCTGGCAGGGTTAAGGATGCTCAGGGTTAGGGATGCTCAGTGCCAGTGGGTGCAGAGTCCCTGCTGCTGCCCCAATCATGGGGCCATGGACATGACCCCAAGATCTGCTGCTCACAACCCCAGAGCCCCCCCTAGTTCTGTCGGGGTGGATGCTAGTGCTGGTAACGGCAGCAACAGGGCACCCAGGTGGCTCCCACTGCTTAAACCCCCACAGGTGTCACCTGCTCACCCAAGCAAAGCATCCACAGCAATGACCCGGGTTTGCTTTATTGGTTTAAAATAAATATGAACATGCTTCCCTTCGGCGGAAATTAAAACCTAGTAACATAGAGTAGTTAGTATTAATATATTCCAAATATTTAACTCCCAATCACCTGAAGGGCACGATAAATTTCCATTTCTAGGTCCTTTTATTTCCTGAAAAAAAGTCGTAACCTTAATGCACCTTGAAAAGGTCTTGCCAAAAGCCCGGTGAGTGCAATGGGACTCTGTGGGGAGCACGCAGGGAGGCTGTGCCCAGTGCAGGGCTGTGGTGGCAACTGGCCACCAGCCCTCTGCTCCCCTGGCCACTGATTCTGTGGAAGGGACACTGGGACGGGGACCATGGGCGGCAGGATGGGCTCCAGCACAAAGATGCAGCCACAAAGAAAAAAGGTAAGGGAAGGAGAGGAGAAAAACTTCCAAAACAAACCCAAAATTTATTACTGCAGACATAACAAGTAGACTTCCGATGTTGAGTTTTTTCTGTATGAGTGTGAATTCCTCAATACCCTTTTTATTTTCTTGAAAACATTGAAACTAGAGGAAAACAGATCACTTTCTCATTAAGAAGACCTGTATCCTAGCTCTGATACCCATCAGTGGAAGTTCTGCACATATCCAAGGACTTTATTAAATAAAATTAAGAACCCAGTATGCTGTTAATGACACAGCCACAGTTAGCTGACATTAACTGCACATCTTCTGTGGGACTGATTAGTGTTAATATAGCCTGAAGAAAATCAAGGTTCTTGATTCCTGGAAGTTATGAGCCACTTATTTTTTGGAAAACATTATGCATTCATTCTATGGTTGAGAATGTCAGCTGGGATAAATAACTTCTACTTCGCCTCATCTTCCCCAACACTTGGAAAAGAATATACATTTTTCTTTGTTTTCTGGCAGTTTTGCAGAGTTGTTGCCTACTATTGAACAGTCAATATTAATATGTGCTAACAAAATGTAAAACCAAAAATATTTCTCAAAAAATATTTTCATGAAACTCCTTGAAGAGCCACAGCTGGCTTCCATGGAGGCAGCACTCAACATCAAACCTGGCAAAAATGGCAACTTAGATACTATTTTTATACTCTTAAAAAAAAAACCCAAACTATTATTTAGATCTTCAGCAAAGGTGGGGCCCTGAGTCTGAACACAGACTCGTTGCTTACAAATAAACATAAGCAACACATGGTTGGCAGCTATTAGGGTTCATAATGACCACAGCAGAACAGTATTGCAGCATTGCCCCTTAACTCCTCCTGAATCACTGCATACACAATGCTATATGCCTCGTGTTTCCTTTTTTCACACTGTTTTATTAAATCCAGCTAAACAGAATTACACAGGTAAGAAACAATTTGTAAACTGTGCTAGTAAAGCAGAGTGCAATGATTAAAAAATAGTAACTGCCTGCCTGGGTCAACAAGAGTGTTTCTTTAGCAAGATACTCAGGAAAGGCGAGCAAAAGGGCTCGAAGACATCATCTAGTTGTGAAGGTTTAAGAGCTGCTGTTCAACAGCTTTTGGTAATTCACCTAAACGAGGAGTTTTCCCCTGCTAACTCGGCCCACTGTTAGCTCAGGGACACCACCCAAGGCAGTATGGCTCAGCCCCGGGCATCCAGACCCTGCACAGCACTGCTCTGACCGTGGCACTGGTCACCCAACCCCCAAATAAATCCTTCCCCCAAGAGAGTTATCTGGGGGTCTGGGAGACAGCCCCATGCTCAGCTCCCTTCTGAGCACATGTCCTGGGGTGGGAGCAGTGAGCATCCAGCACCCCACAAGCATCAGAGCCCAGGCTGTGCCCCACGGGCAGGAGAGCAGTCACGCACCCGAGCCCTAAAACTGGCAAGTTTGGTGACTAAAGACAGTCCTAGGCAAACGCTTCATTTTCCCCTTTTGCTTGCACTTTGCATGCAGAAACGGCTGCTCTGCCCACCCGTCCTCACCTGTCCCCTCCGACGCAGTTTCCAAGCTCAAATTCATCTGGGACAGAGGCAAATGTTCTTGAGAGACCTGAGCTGTCACAGTCAACTGTCAAGAGAGTAATTTGATGGGAGAAGTATCAAGGGAGCGATCAAGAAAACCTTGGAGAGGAAATTAAAACAGATATATGTTCCCAAAATTACAACATCCACTTCAAACTCGTGCTAGCTGAAATCTATATTTACCCAAGGCAAAGTAACTACATAATTGCACTCTGCAGAAATGACTATGCAAGACTAAACACGTGCCGCACGCTCTGCGGGAAGTTTCCTGTCTTCCACGATCTGCTTCGGGCCTCAGTTTACCAGCCCTCCTGTATCCTCTGGGCTAGGTGGTGGCTTTGCACTCTAATTCAGGTACCACAGCAACACAGACCTGCTCCCAACCCACTCTCGAGGCACCGGTGGTGGCACCAACAGGTTTAGAACCGCGGGGCTCTTCATTTCTTGTTTTCTGCCCCATTCATCAAACCAATTTCCCTTGACAGGGAATTAAGCACACTAATTATTTCTGTATCACACCCCCTCCAGATACAGGGTCTGGACAACTGTCACTGCATCTATAGAGTTGGAGTGAGCTATGGAGGAATCCTAAAGCTCCTGACACAGCAACATGATGAAGCCACAGCTAATATTTTAAGCCTTGCAATTCTATTTCTTCACATCTACGTCCCATAGTCAGTAACAAAATACAGCAATAAAGACAACCCTAAATCCAGTCCAGTCTTTCCTCTCCTCTAGCCAGGAGGTCATTAGAAAAAACAAAAAAACCACAACAACAAAAACAAACAAACAAGAAACCCCACCACCACACTCACAGGATGGAATCTTTCGTTTTAAATTGTCTAACAGTTTAGCTGGCAGGGCTGTTTCTTCCAGGAATGCATTTTTAAAATCCCTAGCCCTTTCCCTACTTCCTAGAGCTCTTACTAACCTTTTATTAATTATTGCTTCTGCTACAAAATCAAAACCAATTGCAGATTAACTTTTGGAGAAGTTTAGAGCAGGAATTTTGCTCTGTTTGTGACCACAGATATTCAGTATTGATTCCTAAGGATGTAGCAGCATGAAAGCTGCTTACCCAAGCTTTGTTGTGAAGGGAAGCCTGGATGACTACGGCCTGGCCACCATTTTCAGGCTGGCGGGGTTTGCACAGCCCACTTGTGAGGTGTGAAAACCCAACAGTGCCGAGCAAAGGGTCTGCAGAGCCACTTCACCAGCAAAGATGTGCTGATGCTCATGCAACCTCTGGTCAGAATCCTGATTCACCTCACCCCAACAAAATAGCTCCCTTGCCCCTCTGACAGATCCGCATCACGGCTTTTGGAAGAAAGACACAGGGTTGGGTGTCCCAGCAAACACCCACAGCCAACTGCAGAACAATCCCCCTTCTCCAGCCCAGCTGCAAACGCTGTGAAGCCTTCCTGGTAAAAGAAAGGAACAGAGAAGAAAAGCAGCATGTTTTCCCACAAATATTACCATTCCCCAAATTCTGCTGAGAAGCTGCCAGTTGGAAGGATTCAGTGGTTTAATGATAACATAACACAGCGTAAAGCAAGATTTTCCTTTGCCCCTCGCCGCCCCAGCGCCACAAAGCAGCCAGCCACGGTTCTGCTGCAGGCAACCTGGGTGGTGGGTTTCCCATGCGTGTGACATCAAATTCACTTGTGAGCATATTCTGTAGCATATAATTAGAATTTTTGCTTCTAATTTCAAGAAGCAGCTTTTTATGTTTTTATATAAACCGCTGAAATCAACCACATTAAAAAAAAAAAAAAAAAAAAAAAAAAAAAAAAAAAGAATCACACAGGATAGTGACAACTGATATTAAACAGCTATTCACATACGTCCCAATACCACAAGACTCATACACTCGCTCGGCTCTCCCCGCTGTAAGAAATCCAAATGACTTCAGTGCATAAAATGAACCATATGAATTAATCACTGGCTTTTCTGTCCTCACTCTACAGTGTTATTAATTCAGGCTGAAAATGCATGTTCCCCAGAACAAAGAATGATCCAGCAAGGGAGCGTGTAGTTCGTTAAGCATTCAGCAACAGAAAGCCAACCTGGAAATGCAAAATAGCAGGTACCACTTCGGGATTTTCCACACAAATAGTTATCAATACCACAGGAAAGCCAGGGAAAATATCCTGCAGCTGCTTTAATACTGAAATTGCAAGTGAATGGAAACACCTCCAAAACAGTCACTCAAAGAATACTTTCTTTTTATCGAGAGAAATAACCAACCAGTCTTTGATGCAAACTTTCAATCATTAATGGTAAACTTGTCAGTAAAGCTGGGGGCTGAAATTCAGTAACTGGAAACACGTGTGAAGGTAGCCTGAACACCAGCACCGCTTACTCCAGTGATTTATCATACACCTGAGGCCGCAGTATGCTCACACCAATAAAGCCCTGGATAGAAGGGAAAAAAATATGTTTTATTTAAAGTCATTTGAAACATGGTAAGGGAACAAAAAGCAATTCTAAAATATCTGCGTTATTTGTTAAAATAATTACTTTATAAAACAGCCAATTTTTAAATGTTACCATGTGCAGCAAACTTCCATACAAAAATTTACCCGTCCCTCTAATAAATGTAGTATTGCTCAGTTGGTCTAGAAAGCCACTTAAAAGAGATCAATAGCTTTTTAGCATGACACAATGTCCCACTCTAAATGACTACAGTGGAGGATAAGTATAGATATCAAAGATAAAATATTTTTTGAAGTATCTAGAAATGTGGAAATAGAACCAAGCATAGCAAGACTCTGGACCAAAAGGAGTGAAAAAGTGCTTTGTTTCAAAAGAAAAGCCCAGATCCTCTCCCAGCTGATGCATCTGCAGGGAGGGGAGTTTTTAGCAATTACCTAGAATTTCTGGAGATGCTTGTTAATCTACAGAGTTATATCCATTACAGAGGGTGGCCCTGAGGAGGGGCACGTGTGACAAAACCAGTCGGATACCTGCAGTTCCCTCCAGCCCTGGCTGCAGCAGTTCCAGGCAGCAGTACCAGCAGTTCAGCAGCAGGAGTTATTTTCTGGCAATCACATAAACCTTATAGTTCACAGCAGTTTTATACCTGGTGTTGGTATAAATACAGAGTATTTTGCCTTCCATGTGTGCACGGCCACTGACACAACTGTAAAACTGACTGCTTTCCTTCATGGACAACCCAAGCAGGAAAAGAAACTGCCGGCAACCCAGGATTTAGAAGTGAAATAAAACACTTGAAAAAGATATTCGTGTACAGGATAATTTTCCAAAGAGAAATTGCTGACCCTTAAAGAGTGGCATGTGTCAGGAGTTTTTAAATTTAATTTTACTTTAAAGTCACAAAGGAGAAAGAAGTTCAAAATGCTGTTTGTAACCATAACTTAGAGTTAAAAGGTATTCAGTAAAAATGTACACCGATTTCTTCTGGACATAAATCCAAAAGGTAAGATTGTGCAACATCAGTACTTCATATTTAATAATAACAAACAGATGGGAAAATATTATAATAAATTATTCTAACTATCCAAGCTCTGTGCCAGAAAGTCTTGGCCAAATTCCCCTACTTAACTATCTATATACCGTTTTGACTGTGCAGATCTCAGAGCTCTCCATATTCCTGTAGACTGGAACACATGCATCAAGTGACTTTCTTTTAGAATAAATAAATAAATAAAATCCCTGTCTGAGCTACACTGTAGGGCTGACACAACACTGCAAAACGTGAGCACGGATTTGATAAGACGAGCCGTGCTGTATCACGACACAGGAGCTGCAGCACTGATCACAAGACCCAGCAGCCCATGAGAAACCCCCCAGGGATGTGGATTTATCTTTGCTCCAAGGTCTGGTTCACTCCTGTATCTGGGGGTAAATTTTAAAGCCCAACTGACACTTCAGCTTGAACCTCACGTGCTCTACAGCAAGGACACAGACAAAACAGCTCTGAGCACTGAAAGCTGTCCAACTCCCTTCCCAAGGGCCTGACAACCAACACAGCTGTAAATCCTGGAGCCTTTTAGGACAAAGATCTCCGTGCCGTGCCCGCAGATCTGTACAAGTGTGGAAATCAGCACGGAGCGATGCCGCTCTGTGCCAGCACCCGCCCTGGGCAGAGCCATGTGACATCGGGGCCCCGTGGCTGGAATTTGGGGCTGCTCAGCGCTGGCATCGCCTGGGCATTTCCCCAGTGGGCCCAGGGCATGGGATTAACCTCCTGCTGAAGCCTCGGGATGAAGGCACACATATTTCAATGTAATCAGTTCTGATAGCTGGATTGTCTGAAACTCAGATTTAAAGCATTGCATCTAAAGCACCTGAATATTGGCTTTAAAGCATCCTCCTCTCCCTGGTCATTAGCTATTGGGCATCTCTGTCTTAAAAGCTGACTGAGCCAGAGGAGGTCATATTAAGAAGTAAGCCACGTAAGTGAGAACATAATACATTTATCAGCTAAATGCAAAGGACAAAAAGTGGCATTTTAAAGCTTAGCAAAGTGCAGAATAGATGGGAAGAGCTACATCTCTGTGTTACCCCTTGGACACCTCCCCAGCATCTCCTCCCCATCCCTCTGGTGATTTTTCAGTGTCATCAAATAGATCTGAGCAGCCCAGCACGCCGGCTCTGCACAATGCCTTCCCCCAGGCGAGATATTCAGCCCAGCTGGGCAGATCCAACTGCACTGATGCTATTCCTGATTTATGCCTAGAATCTGGCTCTTGTGTTTACCAAACTGCATTAAAAAAAAAGAAAAAAAAATCCGGGCAGTGTTTGCCCCCGTGACAACTGGCGATAGCCAAGGGCCATCGCACAGCCAGAGCAGCCCGTCGCTCCCGTCGCTGACAGCCTTCCTCCTGCAGCTGCGAGGCCGAGCAGAGACATCACACGGGGGAACTGAGCTCTGCCATGCGCTCCAGCTCTCTACTCAAAAATAACAACATTACCTCAGCAATCCGAAACAAGGGACAAGAACGATTTCCCCATCGGTTTCTGCCCCTCATCCTTCACCTTTCCCATTGCTCCTTTCCCCCAGAGGAGCCTTCCTGACGTCTCCTCCCTACCCTGCACCCAGATTGCTCACTGCTTATTGCACAGCTTGTTTATTCCCCCCTCACTCTTTTTTAGGGGGGATCATCTTTACTCTCTCCTTTCACCCCTCCCACATAGAAGTACCACCCTATTTTGGGAGCGCGGCAGGATGACTTTTCCCCTCTGCTCCCAGGCAGATCTCCACTGTGTGTAAGTGCAGTCACCCCACACCAGCCCCAACACCTCCTTTGCAGAGGGAAAACGTCCGCATCTTCAGAAGGCCGGTGGCTGGGTGCTGACAGTCGACCAGCCTGGAGCTGCAGGACCTACTCCTGCTTTTGCCAGCTCCCACCCATCCCTGGAAGCCGCCTGGGCTTCGGCAGGCAGGTCGCAGCCCAGCCTGCCCACGCAGCGAGGCGGCCAGCCCCGCGGCAGCTCCAGGGAGGTTGAGCAATCCTTGCTGAGAGGCTCAGGCTGCACAGCTCAAACCCCAGCCTGCTGTCCTTCCTACTCACAGGAGCAAAGGGCTCCATCCTGCAGACCTTCCAGCTGAGCTCGAGGTTAGATACTGAATTGGACACAGCCCAACATGGCTCAGACAAGCATGAAGCAAAATAGAAAATTATCCCTTATCTCCTCCCTGGTAAATGTTCATAATAAACGGGGAATCAAGAATCACAGAATCATTCCGGTTGGAAAAGACCCTTGGGATCATCGAGTCCAACTATCAGCCCTGCTCTACAAAGTTCTTCCCTACCCCACATCCCCCAACAGCTCATCCAAACGACCCTTAAACACATCCAGGGATGGTGACTCCACCCCCTCCCTGGGCAGCCTATTCCACTCTCTGACCACTCTTTCTGTGAAAAATTTTTTCCCAATGTCCAGTCTAAACATCCCCTGTTGGAGTTTAAAGCCAGAAGTAACCTCATAAACCTCCACACCTCAGCTACCTGCTCCACTAAAACCCTGAGCTGTTTAGTCCACTTTTAATGGTGGTTTAATCACTTAATAGCCTAAAAGCATAGGATAGAACTCAAAATCCCACTACTAAAACACTGTTATTTTAGGCACTGTGCCTTCACTGAGCAGCAGCCTCTCGCTCTTATGTAGCAGCTTTACATGAAGGTCTGGAAGCACCTTGGGGAAAGTTTTATCCCTCTCTGATGTCAAGGGAAATGCAGTTAATACACACCAGGCAAGTGGGAGCACGGCCCCAGGCTCATCTCCCTCCCCACCGATAACACAACCCGCCCTCTCCCCGTGACAGGTACGTACCCCTGGGGACGGAGCACTGCCTTCAGCCACTAAGCCTTCTGCTGCGCGCCGAGAGGAGCCACTTGTGCTCTTCCCGAGATGATAAAAGCACGGCATCGCGTGCCTTCCTCTTCCCCTCCCGGCGGGCACACCCTCAGCTCGTGGGCCAGCACCCTCTCCGGCTTCACTACCTGCAGGATTCCTGCCACTCAAAGGTTTTCCCAGAGGGATTATGACTCGGACAGATAATTTTGGCATGCGTGTAGGCACCCCCCCATATAAAGGAATACAAAAATATGAGAGAGTTGCAATAAAAGCACCAACTGTTTGGAATCAAGGCACAAGAGCCAAGGTACAGCTGAGATTTCAGCACTGGAAATTGCAGGGTGGAATTTACTTTGAAATCCTGACACTTATCTCTTCTGACTAACATAAAATATGTACCTTGGCTCAGGCTCACTTCCTATATACGACTGGGAAGAGGATGGCTTAACACTGCGGTTTTACCCAGTTTAGAAACGGAAAAGAAACCCATGAGAAAATTATTTCACTAGACTCAGAATAAATAAATGAATCAAATTTTTTAAGAGTTTAAGGGAACATGGTGGATGCAATGAAGAGGCGGTCAGAAGTACTTGGTGAGATAACATTCTCCTTAAATCAAAAGTGATAACATAAAACTGTAAGACTCAAGTGTTAATATAGTATTTAAGAAAATAAGGGCATCCTGCTCAGGAGCGTATTGAAGTGCATGGGGCTCAGTAGGAAGCAGATGCATCAGCTCTGAATTCTGTGCAAAGATGCCACAAATTGTATAAAAGCACACGAGGTATTTCAGCTCCCAGTTGCTGCAGTAAATTCCTTAGAGTCAAACAAGATGCTCTGGGTACAGTAAGAAAATTGGCAGCTCCAAGGCCCAAGGTCCCTGATGTGGAATCTTTGAGACGCCAACTCAACACAATTCAACAGCTCAGTGCACACTATTCTCCGCACGCCCTCTCTTCTATTTCAGATTTTGCACTTTCGCTCTTGGAATGATTTTACCCAGAATCTGAAGTTCAGATGATGCTCAAGAACACTGTCAAATCCCATTAAGTTTAGAAAGATACAGGTTTTAAACGACGCTAAGTCATTAATCATTTCCTTCACACAAATCAGTCCGCTCACATGCACAAACACACTAACACAAGCGCTTCTGGCTATGATAAGTGCAAATGATGTCTACATTTCTATACACTAAACCTCTCTAAACTACAACACACTTTTTTCTAATTTAAAGGTGGCAAGACAAAACGTTTCCACAATTTCAAAAATGCTGACCTGATTTTTCTGATCCAGAAATCTGTTCAAACTGGTGCATTCCCCCAAATAATCTCTATTTCAAGGAAACAGCATTTTTGGACAAAGGAACTTTAAGAAGAAATCCATAGACGGCTCCATTCATGTGGTTGCTCACTTTTACATCAATTTCTGCAAAGACAGTGAAGAGTGACAGCTTGTTCCCCGCTCCAGAGAGATCAAGGAGTCTGGCCTTAGGGGAAGATCAAACTTGACCTTTGGCTCTCACTCCATTACCCAATGCCAGTACTTCTACAGTGTTTAACATGGAGTGAACACAGAAAATGCAACAAACTTCAAAATACAGACTTGTGAGAAAACAGAGGCTTCAGAAAGGGATTCTGCCAGCATAAATAGATTAACCTCTCTAGCCTTCAATAGCATCAAACAGTCAAATAAATACCCTTAAGACAACAACTTAAAAGAAGGGAAAAAAAAAAAAATCCACACCACTACTCCTCCTCCCAGCAAGAAAAACGAGACAGTAAGAACAGATGAGAGAATGCTGGGATACATGCCCTGAAACCAGCCCTTTATTTTATTGGTCAAGTCAGTGGATTAATACTGATTTTTTAAAAAATATACGGCCAAAAAAATTAGTACCAGATACAAATGGGCAGGAATATTAAAGTGTTCTTCCTCCTTCCAAAATGCTGTCTCCATTGTAACGGTGTTACTGCTCCCTCCACATCCGCATTTGAGCAACTGAGATTCTGCACAGACATTCAGGATACAGTGCAGATCTGCTGATGATTCTTCAGACAAAGAGCTTTTTAAACCTATGACTGATTAAAAAAGCCAAAAGATCTAGACCATTTAACCTGACCCAAACTGCAGTGCATTTCTGCTCATCAAACATTCCTGGTGGAAAGCATCCAAAATCTACAGACTTCCACTCAAACTTCCAAACTCCAGATCAAATCCAGAATAAAAGAAGGTTGAAGAATCCCAATAGACTTGGTTCCTTAAAAAGGGCCCATAGTCCTACCAACCTTCCTCTGAGCCCCAAGAGATGCCAAGTTCCGAGACCTCAATCCTTTAATTTGTAATTCTACCATATACCTCCGGAACACCCAACAAGACCCACTATGTTCAAGAATGGTGCTCCAAAACTTTACATTCAGAGTTGTAATCATCCTCTATACATTACTGCCACAAAACTTCTATGTGATATATATCAGGTCAGAAAAAGGGCATCTGAATGGTTAACCAGACATAGATAAATCAGATGCACATTAGAAATGACAGTGTGGTTAATGGAAAATAAAAATGCCAGCAGTTCCTTGGATGTCCTTCAGTTTATTATTATTATTATTATTCAGGGGTTATTCTGCACATCAAGGTTTATTTAACTTCAGAAAAATAGAAAAATAAAAATAAAACTCATTCTCCCATGCCAGACTTGAACGTTTGATCGAAGCATGCCTTGAAGACAACTCTGCCCATCTCTCATCCTCCTTCCATCAAAAGCCTGGCGATATCACAATGAATTTAAATAGCGCCTTGCTGAGAAGTGTCAGCCTGTTGAAGCCAGCACTGTCATGGAGCTAACCCATTGTTTTCACTGGATTCTCCCCAACTTGCCTTTCTCACTAAAAATCAGAAGACGCTTTACTGTCTATCTCCCACTTTTGAGGGTATTATGCTTTTAAGTTGGCCTTCTGGCTTACAGGACACACTCACTAGAACTGACTGCTTTCTAAAAGGTAAAACCAAGTAGGTGGATTATGCCTGGGCTGTGCTGACTCTTGGCATTTATGACAACTGGCAAATATTGCAGGGACAACAAAGTGCCATTATTCCTGCTTGGCAGCTTGCAGCAGCACCCTCAAGATCCTCCCAACACGGTGCGACGCGTAGGTGAGCCCTACGGCCAGACAGGAGGTACTACTCAGAAGCAGAAAAACCAGTACTAACCCATAAATGAGGTGAGGACGTAAAATAGAGGCAATGTCCTCTGCAATTGCCTGAACACTTAACAAAATGCTGTTTCAAACAATTGCCTGAGTTTTGTTTTTAAAAATAGAGCAAAAGGAGAAAAATAATTGCATAGTACAGTATTTACAGGAACAATTTTGTGGCTATTGTACGAGGTTAGCCTTGCTGAAAGGCTTTGCTCCAGCTTGGCAGAAGGAAAATTCATGCTTTTGTGCAATTAAATAGGAGCAAACAAAAGAGAGAGAAGCAACAGCTCCTCCCAACATTCAATACAACTGCTGCAACCTCTTGCTAATGCACGACCTGAGCAAGGTCAGAGCGGTCATACCTGCCCAGTTACCTTTCGAAAACTCATCTGGGCCACAGGACACGGATGACAACTCTGCAGATGCACTCTTCTGCCCGCAATGAACCTCCCCGTCCCATCTCACGGCCAAATCGGTCCCAAACCCCAGCACACCCTGCACTGCAGCAGGGCTGGGCAGGTGGAGCTCTGCTTTTCTGAATGATGCCCCAAACTGAGGATCTTATCGCTGGGGTCATTAAAATTCCCACAGGCTTTTCTGATAGAGCGGGGAAATTAATCACCCTCTCCCGGCCACACTCCAAGTGGGTAATTACAACTGACCTCCTTAAAACCCCCAAACAAGTGGACATTGTGTTCAGGTTGCCCTGTCTCGCACTGTGCACTGTCCCTATGCGTTACCAGACAGTGCTGAACCCCAGCCCCAGTGGTGGGGGCCTTTCAGTGGTGGGCAGCACTTCCCTTGCCTATAGCAAGCTTGGAACTAGCTTTTTTCTTTGTCAAAAGAAATGCCTTCTTTTGTTTCTTTTTCTTTTTTTTTTTTTCTTTTTTTTTTCTTTTTTTTTTTTTTTTACAAAACAAGTAGCAATCAGTCCAAGCTGGGATGTTTGGACATAAAGTCAAATCCTCTTCAAAAATTTGAGCATGATCAGAGCCAGTGCCTTTGTTCAGATACACCTCTATGAAAAGGCTACGAGAAAATTTTATTTTTTTTTTTAAAAGTGAGCTGGCACTTTTATTAACCCTGGTCTTGTTTTACCTTTTGCACAGGAAGCCGCAACTGGGAGCGCCGCACGAAGTTACAAGTTTAACGGAAAGGCTTAACACAAATCCAGCATAAGCTCAGGAAAGCAGATAACGGAGATGCTAACGCAAGATAAGGAGAACAAGTGCTGGTTTTATATTGCACACACACCAGTGAACACAGTGCCAGGACCAAACTGTTCAGGTGTATCTGTGAATAGGTGCACCCTTACATACTTACAGCAACTAAAATGTTAATTGAACTGCATTGT